AGTTACGGCTCGTGCCCGGTGTCAGCTCCGAGCCGTTTGTCGCGCGGGGAGGCTGCAGCCCTGCAACGAGCTCGTCGCGCCGCTGGGCCGGAGCTCGCGGCTCGCGTGGGAATAGGTCTCGGCAGCACATGCCCACCCGGGGCTGGGGGACGTGCCGGAGCAGGGGGGCCCGCTAGACATGCACTCGTTGGCGAGAATTTCCCGAATTAAAAAAAAAAGCATAAAAATAGCGATCATATTCCGGGGCTTCGAGTCGCTCTAGCAAAAGGTCGCTATTGCCCGCGTCCTTGGGCAGAGCAGCCCGGGGGACGAAGCTGTGCAGGTATTTTTTTTCAATCCTGACGTTATAAAATGTTTCCTCTTCACAGCCCCGGGCAGCGCCATCTGCGCTAAGCGCGGGGACGAGATCGCGAGGAGCCGGCCCGAGCCCGGGGGCTGCGCTGCCAGCGCCTCCGCCGGCCTCTGCTCCTGGCCCGGCCAGCCGGGATTAGCCCGGGCGTGAGAAGGGCCCCGCGGAGCACACGCGCGAGGGGAGGCTCGGTACCTGTTGAGTGTAAAAATGCATAATTAACATCCGCTTTGGGGCAGCTGCAGGGCTTGCTGTTGCAGGTGCAGGCCGGCCTCTTCTCCTCCGAGCCCGGGTCCTCCTTTGCTCCGGTTTCCATGGGCTTTTCCGCATCCCCATAGAGTAAAGCTAACGAGGAGACAAAAGAGGAAGGCGAAATGCGGCGCGTGTCAAACGCAGCCCCGAGCCCGCGGCCCCGATGCTCCCTTTGTGCCCGCGCGCACGGGCTCTCCGGTCCCGCGGCCGGCGACGGTTTCTCTCTTTTTAATGCCTAAATATTTTGGGGGGGTTTTTTGGAAAAAGCCGCTACTGGCCACAGCCAGCTCCTTCCTTACCACAGAGTTTGGTTCCGATTCCTCCTGTGAACTTCTGGGCCGCCTGGCACCAGGCTCTGGCTGCAAAACAAGAGAAATGAAGCGGCGCGGCGCGGGGCGTGCGGCCTGCCCGGGGCTGCAGCTCCAGGAGAACAAAGAAAGGCAACGTGCACAGCAGCGGCCTCGAGGCCTTTCCCCTCCCCTCGCCCCCCACCCCGGGGAAGGCCCCCCCCGCGCCGGCCCGCAGGGACAAGCCCCCTCGGGGGGACTCGTGGCCAGGAGGGCTCCTGGTAGTGGAGGAGCCCGAGGCACCGTTCAGCTGCGCCTGGGTGGCGCCGATGCGCGGCGAGGCGCGAGGTGAGCGGGCAGGGCTCGGAGCCCCGCGCCGGGGGAGTTTCCCGCCGG